CATTTACATGGACTAGCTCTCCATTTATTTGTTCTCTCTCACTAAAGCAAAATTCCATGGCAGCTATGGTGGTCTGCACTCTGGCAATCCTTCTGTATCAACAGGATCTGTGGACCTCCAAACAAAATGTCCTGAATACCCAGCAATACAAAAATGATCAGCATGAAGTCCACTCTGACAGGATGAGGGAACCACCCATGGGAGCCAGAAAAACCTAGGAACCTGATTGGTACTGGATCTAAAGTTATGCTCATCTCCCAGGAACTTGAGCTGCATAGTCACTGAGGTCATCAGTCACAGGGTTTTGCCCCTCTATTTACCCACCTCATGCAGCTGTACACTTTCTCCCTTGCTCCTTGCTGCTCATGGCCTTCCTCGGTTGTCTGTCACTTCTCACCCCTCCACCCACCACATATCCCTAACCCCAGAGGAGGGAGATACACTGTAGATAAGAAAGACCTGGCCATTGCCAGTAATAAATAGCTCCCTGTACTGGTATGCTGGACCATCGGGAGATACAAAAGATGTTGTTTCCCAGAATCCTAGAGAGTGGCAGTGACTGGGTGATCTTGGTGTTTATGACTGGATGTTTTTGTTCCTCACAAACCCATATGTTGATACCTAGCCCCGTAGTATGAGGATATTAGCTGGTGAGGCCTTTGAGAGCTAGTTAGGATTAGATGAGGTCATAATTGTGGAGCCCTCATGGATGGGATTCGTGTCCTTATGGGAGTCAAGACAGAGCTTGCTTCCTCTCTCTGCTCTCTGCCATGTGGCGGTACAAGGAGAAGTAAGAAGTCAGCTGTCTGCAGCCCAGAAGAGGGCCCTCACCAGAACCCGGCCACGCTGGCATCCTGATCTCAGACTTCCAGCTTCCAGAACTGTGAGAAGTACATTTGTTGTTGATAAGCCACTCAGTCGATGGTGTTTTGTTATAAGCCCAAGCTTATAAAAACAAGGGTGTTCTTAGAAAGGGCGAGGTGTCCGGCCTTCCTCTGGTTCTTTCAGCCAGCAGACCTCCCACTCACCTTGCAGCAACCAGCAGGTACTGATGAGTCCGAGATGCCCTGAGTCTGCTCAGGTAACTTTTCTAGACACTCATGGAAGAGTCCTCACCTTCTCTCACTATGGTTTCTTGTCCACCTGATAGGGCCCACTAGATCCAGAATCCTGAATTTAATGGAATAGTTGCTAACAAAGTAACATAAGGACAAAATTATGTGAACATTGAAAGTAATCAGTTTTAAATGCCTCATTATTTTATTATTTCAAACACATGGACATTATACAAAAATTGAAAATACAGATGAACACAAAACAAAATCACAGATTATGCATTAATTTAATGTTTGTTTTCTGTTCACTTTGTACAGTATGCATGGATTCTGTTTCTAGTCATAAAAACATTAAAAATGCTGATTCTATTTGTGTTTTGGTTCATGTTGAGCACCGCAGTGCGTCTTTGCTTTTCTGGTTTTTGTAATCATGAATTCAAATTGCTGAAGCCATAGGGCCCACTGCTCCGGCATTAACGTGCTTTATAGTTGTCTCGAGTTTTCCCAGGCTGTGACATTTGGAACTTGACAAGTCAGTGTGCCAGACAACAAAGATGACTTATTTGATGAGACTAGTGTTCTTTTCCAAGTAGCTGATATAGAGTCGACTTCATTTAAAAAGCAGGTGCAACAGGAACTGTCCCTTGAAAATGTAGATCCCATCCCAGTATTAGAGGTAGCAATCTCTATGATAAAGGGATAGGTGGAGCAGAAGATGAGGCCACAGAGAAGGGTCTCTAAGGGACCCTAAAAGCTGCCTGATGAATCCAGAGTCCATTCAAAGCTCTCCCTCCTATTTCTTGAAAAGATTGGCCACCAGGGTGTTGAGTTTAGAGAAATAAGTATGAGCCTCATAATCTCAACCCCATGCCACTCCCAACAGATCTGACATTTGCTGTCTGGGCTTGCCATGTGGGGATTGTGCTTACCATGCCTGGCACCCTCTCCACTCACCAGGTGGTGAAGTGCAGCTGAGGCTTGGGATGGGTCATATGTATAAGGGGTAGGGGCAGGTACATTCTGAATAAGGGAACTGTGAGACAACATGCCTCCCCTCAAACACCTCGATAGGTATTTACATAACCTAAGGACATGGGAAGACGTTTTCTTTTGGAAGTTTTATTGGTGATCCACATTTTTAAAAGGTGTATAATTGTCATCAGAAAATCCTGTTGACCTTTTGTTCTCTAACAATGACCAAACAACCAGACCAAAATTAAACAAAACAAGCACCTTTCACTATTGTTATTGCACTCAACAGCAGCTTCTCAAACTGGGTCCTCTCAGCCAAAACTGTACACTTGAATCTTCCTTGGAACAATAGCTGTATTTTTGAAAAGTTATATAAATCACATTTTTTTCTTTGGCTATATATTCATTAAACAAATATATATTTATCTCCTACTATGTCCCAGGTCAAATTCTAAACAAAATGTAATTGTGCTAAAATGTTCTATTAGAAAGAATTCTTGTTTTGGGAAACAAAGTGGACAAAGTCCCCTTTACCTGTAATATTTTACGATTCTAGTTAAAGTCACCCAGACTGATCCCTTTGGTAAAACACAGCCCCTCAAAATTTGTTTTTTTGAAAAACTTACATTTTATATATTTTGCTTAATTATGAGATAAATGTCTGTCTAGGTGTTTGTGTACAGTTAGAATAAAATCTTTTTTTTTTTTTTTTTTTTGTTTTTTTTTCTTTCACCCAGGCTGGAGTGCGGTGGCCGGATCTCAGCTTACTGCAAGCTCCGCCTGCCGGGTTTACGCCATTCTCTCGGCCTCCCAAAGTGCTGGGATTACAAGCTTGAGCCACCACGCCCGGCCAGAATAAAATCTTAAGAGGCAGACGGGACTTTAGAGGTCCCCTATGTGATCCCACCCAGTGAGTGCTTCCTTCCTACAACTTCCCTGGGAACGGGCATTTAACTTCTGCTGGAACATCACTGGTGATGAGAAGCTCACTACCTCACAAAACATTTTGTTCTAGGATCATTCTCCTCCTTTAAAAAGGTCCTTGCAAATTACAATGATGGTGAAATTACTAGTGTGCTGTCAGTCATCTGGGTTTATGTGGAAAAATAGTAAAAGGAGTAGTAGCTCACATGGCCTGAGACAAACATGGTACAGGAGAGCTTCAAGAAAGGAAAGCGGGTATTGGGGAAGAAGACCCTGAAGGTCATAGAAAGATCTAGTCTGAGTCCATGGTGGAGCCTGCTAGAGACCAGAGGAGGTTCCCTTGGTGTCAGGAATCCAGCTGGCAATCAGGGAAGCCTGTGTGACTGGAGCAGAATGAGAGAGGAAGCAGGAAGAGGCAGCTGAGGGCAGAGAGGGAGGCAGGGGCTGGATTTGCGTTTTCTTCTCTAAGTTTGGAGGAAAACATTTGTGTATTTTTCAGCAGGTGGTGATTTTTTTTGGCTTTTTGCTTTTAAAATACCATGATTCTATTTGGTCAAATCTCTCAGCATTCCCCCTGCCCTGTCACTTTGTACCTCACTCCAGAAAACCTGGCCTACTCATAGTCTCCTGAATGTACCAGGCGGAAGAAGCCTATCATGGTTCCTTATACTTACCTGCCCATCCGCTTCCCTGTTCCTGTCATTCCTTCCTTCCCCTCCTTGTCTACCTGACAAAACTCTCACTTTGCTGCCAAGTTGGGCTCTACCATCACCTGCTCTGGAAGACTTCCTTTACTCTCTCAAGCCAGTCTGGGTGCTTTGTATCTCCAATACCTCAGGTAGTTACAATTGGTGATTTATGTGAAGTCCTCAAGGGCCAGGGCAGTATTTGCTTCACCTCTGAGTCCCCAGCATCTAACACTGTGTCTGGATCAACTAATTAATCCACTTACAAATCGTCAAACTCTTCTAAAACAATAAAATAAAAATTTGGGAGCAGATATATTCTAAAATATAACTAGTTCATGTTCGGTGATACCATATAGTACATTTTCATTTCTTTTCTGGGTATCTTTTGTAACTATTTTTTCCTAGTAAGATCGTATGAAAATAGCATAGCTCATATTAGCTGTTTCCTGAGTGCATTATAAAGTCTTTTCAGGATCTGTACTAGATGACCACTGACAACTTCTTTAAAAAGTTCCAAGTCAAAACCATCTATGCCATGCTGTAAGGTGTAGAATTTGGGGTCCTGGACAATTGTTTGCTCCAATAGCAATAGCTACAAAATGTAGGACTTACAAGAATAACTAAGGAAAGTTACCAGGGCAAGGAGCTGGAGGCCAATAGCAATGTTTATCAATTCGTCAGTCAATAGATATTTTAGATTGTTTAGATTGTTTCCACATTTGGGCTACTATGAACAATGACTTTTTTATGGTGCCCAAGAATTTCCATTTGAGAAGCAGAAGTTAAGGTAGGGTATGTGGGAAACGCCTGCATTGGTTAACTAGATCCTTTTCCAAAATCAGTATGTCTATATTAGGATGTATAAGCATTGAAAGACAAGCAACGTCATCATCAGTTTCTCCTAGAAGTATTCTAGTTCTCTAAGCTTGAAAAGTGAAGAGAAGCCTCTGTTAGAACAGCCTCTGGCACACAGATGCACCCAGCATGTCCCAGTCTCATAGGAGGCCCCTAGTAGGTGTTAGACGGATGCAAAAGAATCTACAGAAACAGCCAAAGGCTGGAAGTTGTTTTTGTTGTTGTTTTTCATCTCCAATGCAAATCCAGAAATCCATAGCACAAGCCATTCTCAAGCCAGGAGGAAACAACAAAGAGGAAGTTTCCACAACCCCCTTGCATCACAGTTTCAAAATCAGGCTACATTTCAAGTAACTAGTGGTCTGAAGCCTAACCATATAAATTTAGGACTGCTCCAGGGGAAAGGATAACAGCAGCAGCAGAGCCACTGATCACTGGATTGTTTCAATGAGCTCAGTCTCCTGCATGTCTCAGTTCTTCCCCAGCCACCGTCACATTGCTGCCCCAATACAGAGGACAAACTCCCAAGAGAGGGGGTATTCCAGAGACCTCATCTGTACATTTCAGGATGTTTGAGGAAATATTCTCTGCTCAAAAGATATGTATGAAGCCTTATTTGTGACTTTTTCAGGAATCATCTTTGTGTCTGGGAGTCTCCAGCTGACTGCCAAGGAAATTTGCTATCAATTACACATGTCTAAAGCCCAACACTTTGTGGCCAGTGAGGCTATGTTCCCACTCATGCACTCTGCCATGTTCGACTGCCCTACCTTGAAGACCAAGCTCCTAGTGTCAGATAAGTGCTATGATGGGTGGTTGGATTTCAAGGAGATGATTCAGTAAGTGGACACTGAAAAAGAGAAACTTAAATCAAGAGAATGTCTGATTTTGGAAGACAAAATGTTGTATGAGAAGGTGGTGTGAGTGGTTGTAATGAAAAGCTTAATGGTAATTTCTAGTCCTGAAAAAAAAAAAAAAAAAAAAAAAACCAGAGTAACTCCCCAACACCACCAACAGAAGAATCCCTGATCTGGCCTACAAATTCTCAGTCTGAGTGAAAGTCTCATCTTCTGATTCATACTTGAGCATTCATTCTGAGAGGGTAAAAAAATAGGTGATAAAAATATAAACACATATCAAAACATAATAAAAAGCTTATATATACAAATATATATAATTATATAATGGAATACCATTCAGCCATTAAAAGGAAAGAAATTATGTCTTTTGCAGCAAGCTGAATGGAACTGGAGGCCATTATCTTCAGTGAAATAACAGAAATACAAAGTCAAATACTGCATGTTCTCACTTATAAGTGGGAACTAAATAATGTGTACACACAAATATAGAGTGTAGAATAATAGACACTGGAGACTCGCAAAGGTGGAAGGTTTTGAGAGGGTGAATAATGGAAAATTACTTAATGGGTACAATGTACACTATTTTGGTGATGGTTACACTAAAAGCCCAGATTTCACCATTATGTAACAAAACTACACTTGTATCCCTTAAATTTAAACAAATAATAGTAAAAAAAAACTCACTGGCACTGGGATATGAGAAAATACATATTAAAACAACAAAGCAATGCCATGTTTATCCTCAGGTTAGCCAAATACAGTAGTCTCCCCTTATCTGTGGTTTTGTTTTCTGTGGTTTCAGTTACCTGTGGTCAACCATGGTCAAATAGTTGACTACAGTACAATAAGATATTTTGAGAGAGAGAGAGATCACATTCACACAACTTTTATTACAGTATATTGTTGTAATTGCTCTATTTTATTAATTATTGTTTTTAATTTCTTACTGTGCCTAATTTATAAATAAAACTTTATCATAAGTATGCATGTTTAGGAAAAAAGATAGTGTATATAGGGTTCAGGACTATTTGTGGTTTCAGGCACTTACTGGGAGTCTTGGAACATATCCCCCAGGTATAAGGTGGGACTACTGTATTAAGTTTGATAATTATAAGTGCGGTCTTTAGAGAGTAATATTTTAGTGTTCAGAGATGTAAAAAAAACAAACAAACAGTGAACAAGACAGACAAAGCCCCTACCCTCATGAATTTTATATTCTAGACAACAAAATGGACAACAAGAAAACACATAAATAATCAAGGTAATACAGTTTCCAAAAGAAACTCCCAACCAAAACAGGCAAATTAAATAGAGTGATCTTATGTGGAGATAGGGGAATTATTTTAGATTTGGTGGCTTCTTAGGAGAGGACAAGCTGAGACTTGAACACTATAGAGCCAGCCTTTTGAATATCTAGGAATAATATCAGAGAGAATACTAAGGTAAAGGACCTGAGGTGGGAAGGAGCTTGACTTGTTTGAGGAACAGAAAGAATACCAGGGTGCCTGAAGTGTGGTGAGTGGAAAAGAGAGTGGGAGGAGAGGAGGTTGAATAGCAAGGGAGAGCGAGATTACAGCGGGTCTTGTAGGTCATGTAGGAGTGGTCTGTGGAACGTGGAGGGGAAGGACTTGATCTAAGTGACATTTAAAAAACTCCTTCAACTGCTGTCTGAACAATGAGAGACAAGACAGGTAGTAAAGGGAGCTGGTAGAAAGCTATTGCAGTCGTCCAAGTGAGAAGCCGTGTTGTTGTGGACCATGATGGTGGCAGTGGAGACAGGACTGGGAATTTGCAAGGCAAATGAGGAACTTGCCTCAGGCACAAAATATAAAGGGGCACTGAAAAATCCAGTGATCAAGATAAATAATATTTTAATTTTCAAATACATTTTAAAAATCAAATTATAAAATAATTTTCATAATTGAAGTTAAAAAATTTGTATATAATTTTACATATTTATTTTATATATGTATATCATCTGTTTATAATTTTATAAATTTTATGTTTTTAATACAGTAATTTAATTTTTTAATTAAAAAAATCATATTGGCAAACTTCTGCTGACAGATCACCTGCTTCTATTTTTATAAATACAATTTTATTGGAAGCAGAGACAAGATTAGGGTGACCAAGTAAGGTGAGTCATGCAACTGCCTGGTTGGATTACAGGCTGTGTGAGAACTATACTTTGAAGCCGGCTTGATTGAATCTCATTCCTAAACCATATGGGGAATACTTGACCACTTTGGGAGCATTCGTTGTCATGTACTTATTTTAAATTTTGTGGCCAGGCACGGTGGCTCACACCTGTAATCCCAGCACTTTGGGAGGTCACGGCAGGCGGATCACTTGAGGTCAGAGTTCAAGATCAGCCTGGCCAACATGGTGAAACCTCATCTCTACTAAAATTATAAAAATTAGCTGGGCGTGGTGGCAGGCCCCTGTAGTCCCAGCTACTTGGGAGGCTGAGGCAGAAGAATCGCTTGAACTCGGGAGGCAGAGGTTACAGTGAGCTGAGATCACACCATTGCACTCCAGCCTGGATGACAGAGCAAGACTCCATCTCAAAAATAAATAAATTAATTTAATTAAATTTGGATATTTTATTATTAATTTTTGACATTAGTTTTGATTATTTTAAAAATATTTTGATAAAATATTATTTATCTTGTCTACTGAATTTGCTGGTATCCCCTTAAATATCATGTCTGTCACAAATGTTTCACTTGCTCCACCTTAGTCCCAGCCCTGAGTACAGATAATGAAGAGACACAGACTTGTGACATGTTGTAGAGGTAAAGTTGTCAGAGCTTGCCAATGGTTAGGATGTGGCATAGATAGCTGGGTAGATAAGTAGATAGATAAAGAAGGACTGATAATAAGGATTATTACAGATTTTTGCCTTGAGCAATTAAGTAAATAGAGGGTATTTTACTGAGAAAAATAAGGCTGAAACATAAAGGCATCATATATTACTTATCCAACAGAAATTAATGCAAAAAAATTAAGGGAAAAAATGGCAGCTGCACCTCTAACAAATCATCCCCCAATATACCAAGATACTAGCTGTTATTTTAAAAAATCAAAGATTACCAAACCAGGAGCCTAGACTCTAGGTCAGAGAACCTAAATTTAGAACCTTGCTGTTGCATCTTTTGTAATTTATAGAGTTGTACCTCCAAAGCAGACCTTCATGGGGACCAAAAGTCAACATCCAATGGCTATATTCTTCACCAACGGGACAATGGGAGCTTCTAAACTGGCCGAGTATTCCCAGTATGATTTGGGAATGGAATTCAGCCAGGTTTCCAGATATAGTCCTCACACACTCTGTTCAGGCTTGAAAGCTCTTCTCTGGGGTGGTAAAGGGAGAGTTTCGTGAGACTAAAGCTAAGAAAAGAGTTCGTTACTCAAGATTGCAGAAAACATCAATATTGAGAGAAGGAACAGGGCTGAAAGCAGGGTGGGAGGGTGTACACCAAAGGATCAAAAGCAGATGACTATAGATAAAAAATCTAAGAGTATGTGGAAAAAAGAGGAAGAGCAGTAAATCCATGCAGCTGAGGAGGGATCCAGGATGATTCCCCCAAAGACGCACCGTTGGATGTTACTTGTTCTTCAGTGCTACCAACATCGGGGTGTATAATTGTGTTGACCACTATATGTAGTAATAAACACAGAGATAGAGTCACAATTTATGAGGGTTTGGGGTTCTAGAGTCAGATTCTAAGATGAGAATCACATGTCATCACACTACCCCTTTAAAAACATTATTTAAGTAGTTCACGAATACTTTTGGGCATGAGTCACTGGGCCAACGTGAATGCCTCTTTCTACCATCAGTAAAATTGCCACAATTTTACTGGCAATATCCAGGCTTATTACTCAAAGCAACAATGATCAAAACAAGGCTTCTAGAGTTCAGAAGTAAATGCCTCTCTTGGTAAATTCAAGGGATGCTGAAACTCATTTCAATCTCTTTGGTCGAATACTCAATTAAGTAATTAATTGGGTGGCATTTGTTTTAGTTTGGCTTGTCTGTGGTTAAGTTTCCCGAACTTACATTCAATTCTGCGTAAGATAAATGATTGTGTGTTGTGACTCCACACTCAAGTTCTCTTAACAAACTCTACCCAAAGGTCCCTTAGGGGAAATAGGTGTATGTGATGTTCATACTCACCTCAAAGGTTTTGACTCTCACAAGCTATAATGGCCAGTGGATATCAGGTAGAGAATTAGAATGGGAGAAACTATTCTAACTCATTTATTAAAATGGTTTAGGAGATCATTCATTTATTCAAATCATTAATTAATTTTATTAATTACACTTCAGAGACCCCTGAAAGCCATGAATCCTGGAAGGCAGTATCATACCAATTAAGTGATGCCCACAGAATTTAAGGAGACTCCATTAGCCTCCTGGCCTCATAACCTTTGTTTGTTTCCATTTGGGTGGTCCTTGTTTCTCTTCACAGGTTAGTGCTTGATAATAGCAAGAATTATTATTGTTGCTAGTACTAACATGAGAAAATCCAAATGGCTTTCCTATTCCTCTTTAGATGGTGGATGGACTCCAACCAACAAGTATTTTGTGGTCTAAGTGATGCCTTTGATGGATCTTTATCTCTAAGTACTGCCTTGGGAGCTCAGCTCCAAGGAGCCCATGTGTTTCTGTGTCACATGCCAATTTTCTGTCCTGAGACTGTTCTAAATGTGAGACCAGGTCCTTGTTGTGGGACATGGGGCAAAGGCCAGAAAGAGGTATTAGCAATGGCCCAGTGGCTCATGCCCCAAATGGGGCAAATCAAGAATTAAATCTGGAGTGTGATCTTGACTTAAAGATGCCTTCCCTACTTCTGAGAGCAATGCCCTCTCACTTCTCCAGGGCCTTTGGAATTGGGAGGACTTGGCTACTTCAGTTGTATCACTCAAAAGGAAACCTTTTTTTTTTTTTTTTTTTTTTTTTTTTTTGAGACAGAGTCTTGCTCTGTCGCCCAGGCTGGAGTGCAATGGCGTGATCTCGGCTCACTGCAACCTCCCGCTTCCTGGGTTCAAGTGATTCTCCTGTCTCAGCCTCCCAAGTAGCTAGGATTGCAGGTGCCCGCCACCATGCCCAGCTAATTTTCATATTTTTACTAGAGACAGAGTTTCATCATGTTGGCCAGGCTGGTCTCGAACTCCTGACCTCAGGTCATCCACCCACCTTGGCCTCCCAAAGTGCTGGGGTTACAGGTGTGAGCCACTGTTCCTGGCCTGAAAACTTTTAAAAGACAATAATGATATTGAAGAAGACAATATTAATATCAGTTACTATTCATTGACTACTCACCGGTACTTCATATGCATTATTTCATTTCATCTCCCCAACAACCCTGTAAGGGAAAAACTGGGTAAACTGAGTCTCATAGAGGATAAGTACCTAGCCCAGGGAATCACAGAGGTGGAATTAGACATTAAGCAATCATGGTCTATTGGACTCCACAGCACAATCTCTAAACTCTTGTGCTAACCTCTTAAGTGCCTCCACAATCCACAATTTTACTGACAATATCCAGGCTTATTATTCACAGCAACAAAGATAAAAACAAGGCTTCTAGGATCCAGAAGTAAATGCCTCATTGTGTATCTATTCAGATATCAGTGAATAACATGATAGCTGCTAGGTTCACACAGCTAAAGCTAAATTCTCTCCCAAGGTCTGGAGGGTGAAGAATCACTAAATCTCCAAGACAAAGGGTATGCCCCAGCTGAGTCTCAAAGTTAGTGGCCATCTTCCCTGAACCTTCCCCACCACGGTCTCACTGTCTTTCCAACTTAACATATAGATTTGGTTTTTTCTTCCTCGTGGTCCCAGGCTCTGCTCAGGTCTTCCACCACCACTCTATCTGCAAATCCACTGATGTACCAGGAACTGCTTCAGCACAAGTGTTTCACCAGGTAAGAGAGGATCTTTCAGGAGAGAGTCCATTTCCACTCAAGGTATCATAAATAAGATTAGAAACCCTCAGTTTGTTGAAGTAGATCCAATCCTATCTTGCATTAACACACCTATCTTGTTGCCATTTATGACAATAACTTTGTTAGAGTGTGGAATTTTTTTTATTATCTTGTGACTATTCAAGGCCATATCTTCTGGCTCCACAGGAGTCCAGAATATAAAACTAAATTATAACCGTAAGGTTGAGTTTGCTTAATCAATTTGTGAATTACACCTCCCTTTAAAAAGATAAACATTAAAGACAAATGCATTACCTGTAAATAAGGTAAATATTAAAAATGAAGACCACTTTCCTTATTGGATGTAAATCCTTTTAGATGTTTTAAAAATAAATTTATACCTATATTTATCTACCTATTTTCATTGCAATATACTGAAATATTGGGATCAGATTATATAGATGGTATCATACTATATATATCATAGTAAAACCTGCATTTTCACTCCACACTGTTCCTTAGAGCTCTATTTATGATAATATGTGCAATATATTTTAATCATTGCATAGTATTCCTTAGTATGATTTATATATTAATGAGCCCCAAGTACCTATCAAAGATACTTGGATCTTTTCCAAGCTGCTGAAATAAGAATCTTTGCACATATCCTAGAATTCTCTAGATTACCCAGTGAGAAGTGGAATTGCCAATGTTTTGTGGAGTCTGTGCCCAGATTAATCATCACTAAAGATTAATGAGAAATCACAGGTTCCAAAGCATTGTGTCATGCCTTAGAGTTTGCTAAATAATAATTTAACTCTAAATTTTACTTTAGCTGTGTGAGCAAGGACATATACTCTATGAAGGGAGCATTTGTGGTAGCAAACAATAGCAACATATTAAATTACGATGACATAAACAAATGTCTAGTTTATTGGCATTTTATGGAGCAATTAAAAAAAGTTAAAATACAGTATATCTTTATACATCAACATGCCATCCCATATAAAATATTCAGATTCTTTCTTTTCTTTCTTTCTTTTCTTTTTTTTTTTTTTTTTTTTTTTTTTTTTTTTTTTTTTTTTTTTTTGAGACAGGGACTTGCTCTGTTGCCTGGGCTGCTGAGGTGCTCAAGGGATCCTCCCATCTCAGCCTCCCAAGTAACTGGGACTACAGGTGCATGCCACCACACCTGGATTATTTTTTCATTTTTTCTAGAGACCTGGTGTCACTATGTTGCCTGGTCTTGAACTCCTGGGCTCAAGCAAGTCTCCTACCTCTGCTTCCCAAAATGCTGGGATAACAGGCATGAACCACTGTGCCCAGACAGATTATTTCTTATACTCTTGAAAGAAAAGGACTTAAAATTTTACAAATAGTCAACTCTCACTTGTATCCTAAAATTAACAATAAAAAGGCAATGATAAGATGGTGCCTTTGGAATTAATTCAGAAACAGTTCTCCAGTTCTGATCTTTCTTAGTCTCAAGACCTAACTGGGTGGGCAGGTATTATCTAATACAGATGAGCTACCACATAACAATTAATTGACACTATTGTGTTCAAAATACATAGTCATTCTATCTCTATCTGAGACCATGAAGAGTTTTGCTCTAATCATCTTCCCACACTGGAACCTTCCACCATTACCAAAATAAAATACACATAAAATGAATTGTGGGTTCATAAAAAGTGTTCACTACTATTCTATGTCTGGGGCCCTATGGAAACTTCTTATAATATCCAGAAACTTTCAGCTCAGTTTGTAAAATTGGTGGCTGTCTCTCCATCCCCAGACTTCAGAAAATTAGTTCTTTCTTTACCTTACCATTGCTAACACATTCTTTATACACAGGCAAGGCTTTTGGGGTGGTAATAGAACTCAGAAGGGTTTCTACCAAAGGCTGGCTTCCTGCCATCAGTTAATACTTATTGATTTACTTTTAACATGAATACTACTTGTCCAGAAGAGTAAATGAGTCTTCATAGAGATTGATGTAACTGGGGTGTCTGAATAGATAATCTAAAAGACTAGTAATAAGAACATAAACTATCACTTAATGAGTACCTCCTACATATTTGGCAATATCTGTATCATTTTTGCAAGTTTCTTTCTCACAACAGACCTGCTATTGGTAGAAATACTCACTAAGGCTAAGAACAACTTTTGATGCCTCTGCAGCTACAGATTTAAGAGTCTGAAGCTTTGTGTGGCTGTAGGAGGAGCCATCAGCCCTGGGGTGACTGAGGACTGGAAACACATCACTAAATTGAACATCTATGAAGGCTATGGCAAGACAGCAACTGTAGGTTGATGCTGATTCACCATTCAGCCAGAAACCAAACTTGTCCATTCACTATGTAGACACATTCTCAGAGCACTAGCACACACTAGAAATGCAGAACTGGATCTGAAGCACGGGAAAAGGAATTGTTTTAATCTAAAGGGACCCCTCCCCGCCTTTCATTGCAAGACAAAGAATTACAAGTACAGATAACTTATAAACTTACAGTTTTCACAGCAGGTAGTTGAGCTAGTTTCCACCTGACAATTCCTGTTTACTCTGTGAAGTATGAGGCAATGTCACCTGATGAGAATGAGAAAATGATGTGATAGAATTCTGATTGGAGGATGTTTAAAATGATCATTGCTGAATACAGAAGAAAGAGCAGATTGTGAAAATAAAGGAGAAATGGGTAATTATAAGAGCACATTTGAGGTTGCTGAGCATTAATCTTCAAAGTCACTAATCTATGTAGTTGCGTGATTTTCTCCAATATCACTCTAAAACACAGATATAAGCATTGTGAAAGTGAACAGTTGGATTGAAGCAGGATTAAAGTTGTGCCAAGAAGATCCAATAAAAGGGCAATGGGCAAGGGATCTAGTGATATTGGAAAGAAAATAGTTAAGATGAAAGACTAAGAAACTAAGCTGACTGGGGAAGGAAAAGAATTCAAGAAAAGGCAGATAAGTTTTGTGAAGGCAAAGCACTTAAGAGTTAGGGTCTTGCCTTATTGCCTAAACTGGAGTGCAGTGATGCAGTCATAGCTCCCTACAGCCTCAAACTCCTGGGCTCAAGTGATTCTCCAACCTCAGCCTCCCAAACAGCTGGGACTACAGGTACACGCCATCACACTTGGCTAATTATTTATATTTTTTAGTAGAGACAGAGTCTTACTATGTTGCCCAGGCTGGTCTCAAACTCCTGGCCTCAAGTGATCTTCCTGCCTCAGCCTCCCAGAGTATTTAGGACAGGCACGAGCCCCCACGTTCAGTGTCTCTTCTTATGAGGGAAGGAATCCCATCATGAGGGCATCACTCTCATGACCTCATCTAAAGCCAATTACCTCCCAAAAGCCCCATCTCAAAATACCATCACAGTGAGGAGAAGGGCTTTAGCACACGGATTTGGGAGAGATACAATTTAGTCCATAGCAATAGTGGTCAAAAAGTGAGATACATAGACTTAAGATTTCAGAGGTAGAACATTTGCAGGTGATGCCAACACAAGGGTATAACCACAGGTGGATTAAGTGTCATGACACTCCCTAGAGATCAGGGTCAATAAATGAAGAGACCAGAGGGTAGGACTGGTCATTCATATACATGTAGGAGGCACTCAGGATGATGGTGGCACATGGAGTAAAGGAAAGATCGTGAACCTCATGATGAAGGTTTTAATGAATAAGGAATGACTGGGAGATTGGGAAATTATAGCAACCAGGAGTAGTAGAGAGTAGTAAAGGTAAGTGGTGTGAGTCTTAGAAAGACAGGGGCATTGTACATAGGGTCAGAAAAGTAATGGCTAGGAGTGATCATCTCTTATGTTTTAAAATATCAGACAAAATGTGAGTCTGGTGATATTTTGACTAGAAGTCACATGACCTAGATTCTAATACAACTATGCTATAGAACAACTGAAGGAGTCGTAAGAGGGCCCTCTGTCTTTCTCTGTGCCTGATTTCTGATTCATTCATTCACTCACCCATTCCATGAACACTTATGGAAAGCCCACACTCTCCTAAGCATGGGGACATTGTGATAAGCCAAGCCACAACAACCTTCACGGGGATGCAGAGTAGCAGAGCAGATTTAATCAAAGAATTGTGCAGTAGAAGTATAGCCAAAACCAGAAATAATTGCTCTGAAGTGAAGACCAGAACTCAGTGAAGGTATATTACAAATAATCTAACTTCTTTTAGGGAATTAAGAAAACCTTCCCTAAGAAATTCCTGTTCTGAGAGCTGAAGGACAAATAAGAGTTCACCAGGTGGGGAGGTGGCATCGTGGGTGGAAGGGATCAGGTTGCACCAGAGAAACCCTCCGAGGGTTCATGCACAGACTACAGAGGGTCAGGCGGCTGGGATGCAGGAGTCACTGGAGAGGTGGGGACGATCCAGACCTTCCAAGGCCTTTAGAGCCAATACAGCTCATGGTCACCCAATGTTCATCCTGCCTTCTCTCTCATGGTAAGACAATAAGCTGAATGTGCAATGAATCAGTCAAGGTAGAAAAGCTAAACAAGTTGCCAAGGTCACACAGCTACTTGCTTTAAAATGTTTTAAGTGAGATATTATTCATATACTGTAAAATTCACCATTTTAAATATATACCTGAGTGGCTTTTAGTATATTTATAAGGTTCCAAAACCATCAGTAGAAGCCCTTGTTTTTAAGACCTACCTACTTTGGTCTCTTTCAACCTTCAGAAGAGATCATTTAAGTATATATATACATATATATGCATATATATATAATTTTATATTTATAAATATATAATATATTGTTTAATATTTTGTCTATTAAGTATATTATACATTGTTTAATATTTCATATTTATTAAATATATATAATACATGTTTATGTGTTTAAGTGTGACTTTTTTTCCTTCAACTTTTAAGTTCAGAGGTACATGTGCAGGATGTGCAGGTTTGTTACATAGGTAAACTTGTGCCATGGTGATTTGCTGCACGGATCATCCCTTCACCTAGGTATTAAGCCCAGCACCCATTAGCTATTCTTCCTGATGCTCTCCCACCTGCCACGTCTTCCTCCGACAGCCTCGACTGTGTGTTGTTCCCCCCGATGTGTCCATGTTTTCTCATCACTCAGCTCCCACTTATAAGTGAGAGTATGTGGTGGTTGGTTTTCTGTTCTTTCATTTGTTTGTTGAGGATAATGTCTTCCAACTCCATCCATATCCCTGCAAAGGACATGATCTCATTCCTTTTAATGGCTACATGGTGTACATATACCACATTTTCTTTATCCAGTCTGTCATTGATGGGTGCTTAGGTTGATTCCATGTCTTTGCCATTGTGAATAGTGCTGCAATGAACATACATATGCATGTATCTTTATAATAGAATGATTTAAATTCCTTTGGGTATATACCCAGTAATGGGATTCCTGGATCAAATGGTATTTCTGTCTCTAGGTCTTTGAGGAATTGTCACACTGTCTTCCACAATGGTTGAACTAACTTATACTCCCACCAACAATGTAAAAGAGGACCTAAACTATACCCTACAACAAATGGACTTAACAGATATTTACAGAACATTCTGCCCAACAGCTGCAGAATATACATTCTGTTCATCAGAACATGGAACATTCTCCAAGATAGACCATATAATAGTGTTGCAGGAAGTCAGGGACCCTGAATGGAGGGACCAGCTGGAGCTGCAGCAGAGGAACATAAATTGTGAAGATTTCATGGACATTTACCAGTTCCCAAATAATACTTTCATAATTTCTTATGCCTGTCTTACTTTAATCTCTTAATCCTGTTATCTTCGTAAACCAAGGATGTACATCACCTCAGGGCCACTATGATAATTGTATTAACTGTACAAATTGATTGTAAAACATTTGCTTGAACAATATGAAACCAGCGCAACTTGAAAAAGAACAGAATAACAGCGATTTTAGGGAACAAGGGAAGACAACCATAAGGTCTGACTGCCTGTGGGGTCAGGCAAAATAGAGCCATATTTTTCTTCTTGCAGAGAGCCTATAAACAGACGTGCAAGTAGGGATGATATCACTAAATTCTTTTCCTAGCAAGGAATATTAATAATTAACACCCTGGGGAAGGAATGCATTCCTGGGGGGAGGTCTATAAATGGCCACTCGGGGGGTGTCTGTGTTATGTGGTTGAGATAAGGACTGAAATACGCCCTGGTCTCCTGCAGTACCCTCAGGCTTACTAGGATTGGGAAACTCCACCCTGGTAAATTTGAGGTCAGACCAGTTCTCTGCTCTCAAACCCTGTTTTCTGTTGTTTAAGATGTTTATCAAGACAATACGTGCACCACTGAACATAGACCCTTATCAGTAATTCTGCTTTTGCCCTTTGCCTTCCAATCTTTGCTGGGCCCTTATCAGGAGTTTCTGGTTTTGCCCTTGTCCTGTTTCCTCAGAAGCATGTGATCTTTGTTCTCCTTTTTGCCCTTTGAAGCATGTGATTTTTGTGACCTACTCCCTGTTCTTGCACCCCGTCCCCTTTTGAAATCCTCAATAAAACTTGCTGGCTTTAAGGCTCAGGTGGGCATCATGGTCCTACTGATATGTGGTGTCACCCCTGGAGGCCCAACTGTAAAATTCCTCTGTTTGTACTCTTTCTCTTTATTTCTCAACTGGCCAACACTTACAGAAAATAGAAAGAACTTACGTTGAAATATTGGGGGTGGGTTCCGCCAATACAATAGGCCATAAAACAAGTCTCAGTAAATTTAAGAAAATCGAAATTATATAAAATACTCTCTCAGACCACAGTGGAATAAAATTAGAAATCAACTACAAAAGGAACCCTCAAAAGCATAGAAATACATGGAAATTAAATAACCTGCTCCTGAATGATCATTGAGTCAACAATGAAATCAAGATGAAAATTAAAAAATTCTTTGAACTGAACAATAATAGTGATACAACCTATCCCCTCACCTGGGCCTTTGTTCTCAGTTCTCTCTTTCTCTGCTTCTCTCTGCTCTGTTTCCCCTCCTTTCTCTCTCTCTTTCTCCTTCTTTCTCTCTGTCCTTCCCCCTACCCCCTTTTTCTTCCCCCACTCTCATTCTTTCTCTGTGTGTCCCTTTCTCTTACAAATCTCACCCCCCATGCTCTGTGCTCCTCTCCAGTCCTGTTCAGAGGGAGCCTCTCATCATCAACCTCTGCACATCCCACAATTTAAAAATTACAGAAAGATGGTGGGGGGACACAAAACTTATTGAGAAATATCTGCTCCCAGCTCAGCTTCTGTCAGACCCACCTGCATTTGGTACTACTAGGGGCAGCTGGTTCAGTGGGGATAGGGCTCTGACAAACCCGGAGCTTCTGCAGGGTCTCATCACTGGCTCCACAGCCACTGCTGGTCCCTCTTCTATTCCATATGGAGATAAATCAGCCACCTCATGGGGATACATTCCTGTCTATCTTATCACAAGGAACCCCTGTGACTGGCAGCCACCAGGTGCCCAATGACCATTTCTAAAATGAATGAGCACAATCTCCACTCATGGCTTGATACAGGATGTTCCCCAACCCCAGAAGGCCGCCCTGGGGCCCTCCTAGTCAACACTACCCAAAGGGCAACCCTACTTCTGCAGCCAGCATTGCAATATCTGCCCGGGTTTGAACAGTGTATGAGGAATCACACCTGGTATACTGGAGGGTCATCTGGTCCTAAGGAAGCAGATGCCCAGACAGATAGGACTGCAAACCTTTATTAGGAGAAACACTACGGAAGATTAGAGACAGACAAGGCAGCACTGGGCAGGGAGCATAAAATGTATTGGATACTTTTTCCAAATTATGTAGGAGCCACAGCATGGCTGTCACAGCTCAGGGGCCTCTTCAATTTTCAGCTTGTCCTGTAAGGCAAAAAAAAAAAAAAAAAAATTTCCATGTGATCTTCTTTTGCCTTATATACACTTTGTCCTTTATAAAATTTCAGTGCCCCCGATAAATACTTCTGTGTGTGGCTGCATCTGTGTCTATATGCCATGGAAAGCAATTATCTACAGGTCTCAGGTATAGGTCTTACAATTTAACTGTGTACATATTCTTATAATTATCTTTTCTTTTGTCTGGTAGAATCTGAATTTTAATCGTGGAGACAGGGGCTATGCCTTATCTTTTGAAACAGGGATTGGAAATCTCTGGGCCTGAGCTGTTACAGCCTGTGGTTTATCTAATGAACTTCAATGAACATCTTTTGATGATCTTCTGAGTGGGAATATTTTCATTTAAACAGTGAGGGGGTGAGTGTCTAACACCTGTAAGCTATTTTGCAAGATGCTCTCTTTATGGGCTTGGTCTCTTCGTCCTCACAATGACCTCATCAACCACATCATCCCCAGCTCATCTATAAGAAAGCTGAGGCTCTGAGCTCCACTGAAAGTTGGTGTCTGGGCTCAGACAGCAGCGACAGAGGGAAGGGTGACAATTTTGCATGACAGTGTTGGAGATGCAAAGCTGGGAGTCAGAGGTGAGAAGCAGAGGGTGCCAGGAATGAGCTGAGACCCAACCTGCCAGGCCTTCAATTCCCCACCAGAGTTAGAAGGCCAAGGCCGCAGCTCTACTGAACCACTGTTAGTCTCCTTGAGTCATAGTAAACTCAGGCAGACAGGGTCCCCTCATAGAACCAAATTACATTTCCCAGACCTCTAGGCATTCATTCACCCTGATCCAGAGCCTTCACACATCCGGGGAAAGAATCATCCTTCCTGCAGATAATGGACTAAAGGCTTTAGGGTAACAAGGAACTTCTTGGGAGGAAAATTCCCTTGTCTACACTGTGCCATCTGAGCTCTCCCATAATGGCTCTGCTGTGGCCCTCACGCAGCCGCTACGCTCCTGCTCACACTGCTTGTAGTTGCCAGAAGCGGCCTTCCAGCTCCACCTAAGTGAGTTCAACAACCCCCCATGTGACATCTCCTCACTCTAGCTCTCTTCCACACCCTCCTCTTTATTCTCAGAAGAATCTGTCTTCCTCTTTTGCACTCTGGGGCCCTTCACTCGTGCTTCCATTATGGATGGTCACAGGATCCCTGCCCTTTGCTGTGTGTCTCTCTGCTGCAGGACATAGGAAGCACTGCAAGTCAAGGGTGCATCTCATCCCTCACAGAGCTGGCCACTTTGTCAAGGTTCCATACATGCCTGCAAAATTGGTATTTATGGCTTCTATAAGCAATCTCTTTCCTCATCTACAAGAGATACCTGCTGCCTTACTCGTGTTGGAGATGAGGCAACCCACTGTGAGTCCTCAGAAACTTGAGAAATGTAACCACGTCACCGGGCACGGTGGCTCATGTCTGTAATCTCAGCACTTTGGGAGGCTGAGGCTGGTGGATCATCTGAGGTCAGGAGTTCGAGACCAGCCTGACCAACATGGATAAACCCTGTCTCTACTAAAAATACAAAAAAATTAGCCCGGCATGGTGGCACATGCCTGTAATCCCAGCTACTTGGGAGGCTGAGGCAGGAGAGTTACTTGAACCCGGAAGGTGGAGATTGCGGTGAGCCGAGATTGCGCCATTGCGCTCCAGCCTGGGCAACAAGAGTGAAACTCTGTCTCCAAAAAAAAAAAAAAAGTAACCACGTCCCCAGCCAGTGTTACCCTTGCTTGTACTGCAAAGTCCTGCAGTACCATCTGTGACATTTCTTTCTATTCACTCAATGAGGAAAAAAAAAAAAAAAAAAGATGAATCTGCTTTAAAAGTCAGTCCATACTGTTCAGATCAACATACCAAGTGGTGTGCATGGAGGCAGCGGTTGTGTTCCCAGAGGCCACCCAGGCAGAGGAGGTGTCTGGCAGCCCACGAATGGTCCTGAAGGGCCAGCCATGCAGTAGAGTAGGGCAATCCGGAGAAAGGGGCCCTTCTGACGCCATATTGACCTGCAGAGCAGAAGGAAGAAAAGTTTCAAAATGCATTAATATGATGGACAAAAACACCAACACCGATGCAAGCTGCACCCCATGTAACAGGTGACAGTCCCTGGCACAATTCCTTGCCTCAGGTTTCAAAATAGCAGTGTCAGTGCCAAAAAATCTCCCTTCTACTGAGTCCTGAGGACAGCTGGGGTGTGAAGGGAAGCCATGAGGATAACCTGCTGTCACCACATGCCACTGTGTCTGTCTGTAAATGCAGGCACTCTAGGTCCTGTTCTAGGGAAGACAGAGTCATTACACAGTAATAAAAAAGCATTAGTCCAGACACATGAGTGTCTAGCCCAGGTGTACTCACATCCCTCCCTCACCACCATCACTGAAGTTGGTTCCTGGCAAGTGATAAACAGAGAGAAAAGGAAGAATGAAAAGCCCATTATTTATACACAAATCACAGCTACTCTTGGGAGAACTTTTTACAGGCCTTTTATGTCCTATCTCTGATTCTCAGAATGCTGCAAGGTCAGTGTGGCCACTCTGCACTAGATCACAGGAAAGAAGATCCCAGAAGAAGGAGAAAATTCACCAAGGGTCACATAGATTGCAAGAGGCAGAGTGGAAGTTGATCCCATCTCTACCTGCAAGGCCCTCCTGTCCCCCTCTGCCTCCCTTCCTGACAAAGGGTCTTCTCCTCTCTGGAGGTACAACCTGTGGGCACAAAGAGCTCTGGGGAGATGTGAATTACTGACGTCCTGCAGGGGAACTGGGAAAGGGCTTTCTGATAGAACAATCTAATCTATAGAAGTTAGTTAGGCACAGCTATAATATTTATTTTAATTCACAGGTATTACCAAATTTTAAATACACTATGACATAAAGAACAATTTTGTCCATGGAAAAAATGAGATGGGAGTTCTAAATAACAGAATTAAAACAACTGTGATTTAATTTCAAGTGCAGAAATCCTGTCATGTGTGATCGGAGGACTCACCAGCTGTGAAAGTTACAGGGACCACATGAGAAACAGCTTAGCTGACCATAATTTAAGGCCTTTGTTGGGAATTGTCCTTGTAGGTAATTAGTGACTTTCACTCTTCACTATCTCACATCCAGTGTACATTTTCTATTACAAATATAAAACCTCTGACAACTAGAGTACTCGATCAAAGGCACCACTGGATGGGGAGGGGGGCATTTTTGCATAGCAAAGTTGTCAACAGACAGGGGACAGTGATGAATTATGGAATTTGCTTTGTCAAAGAGCATTCAGAATTGCACAAAGCACATATTAATACTGGATGAATGAGTTTTCATATTTTTCACTTTTGGGGATTACAGCAGATATTCTAAAAGTTAGTCACCTACCCCATAGGAATTAAATAACAGCAACAAAAAATCCCCACATATGTGGGGCGGGGACTCAGCAACATCTTGAGTAAAAAGGATCAGTCAGGGTCTATTGGGCCATGAGATCTACAGCACTGGAGTTAAGTGGCATCTTCTCATGTTATTTCTGGAAGCAGAACAGTTAAAGCTCTTCAGTCCTTGGCCCTTAAGCATTTATGGTTTCTGGAAGTGCCACCAAAGATGACCAGCTTGGTATGGAGAAGACTGAAGCCTCGTGGGGGAATATTTTGATTTTTGAAAAGTAAAGAGACAGAGAAGATACCACAGAACACACGAAGTAGAGACAAGGCCAGGAGAGGGTGCTGTATGAAAAGACAAAAGTGTCTGAAGTAGGCACAGTGAAAATGACCACAGCATTTACCTTTATCTTCTCTGTGTTCTCAGTTGGGATGCAGCTGCTGTTCCTCATGGGAACTAAATGAGGTCCTGAATCTGCTAAGGGCCAGAGAAGGGATCGGGGCTTATTCTGGCTTGCATGCTCTTTGCAGAATAAGAAACCCTCCATGTCCACCTCTGCCATGTCACTCTCTTTGCCACAGACAGGTCCGTTACCAGAGTTACAGAGTTTGTTAACCAGATGCCACAGAGGACCCTGGAATTCTCTGGACCCTTGTCCTTGAGAAGGACACCACAGAGCCCTGGTCTTAACAAATCAACTAACTGCGAACAAGTAGGGCTCAAACTAGCTGGAAATCAACTCTAAATCAGAAGTTCCCAGTACATATCAGAGGGAACTACTTATAAATTAAGCACAGACTAAAAATTAAAATAGCATTCATGGATAAAAAGAGTATCAATAAACCCTTGACAAGAATAGCCCTGCTCCTTTTTTTCAAGCCATAGGGACATTCACAATTCTCTGGATTCATATTTAATCTAACTTTCATATCAGATCAGGTATTATAAATATTAATGAACATAAATGATTTAAAGAGACTAATAATAGCAATGAGAAAAGGTAAGAGCTATGGGAATTAACTGTGAAGTTTTAGGGTTACACTTAAAATGTTAGAGGAGTAAAATTGCAGAGAAATTTATTACTAATGGAATTGTATAGTTCACAATAAACAATTTAAACAAACAAAAATAATAAAGGAAGATCCAAAAATAGTAAATAAATGCCTCTTTTCCTAAAACATATCTTATTGTACAATATTGATTCACAAAGACATAGCAATAAAATTTCCTCTCTCATTAGGACATACAGTTCCAATTCTAAAATGTTATTGGTGTTGCTTTTCTCAAATGAAAGAAAAATAAAGTCTTCACACTGACTCAAGGTGGGAAGTGGAGCAGGCCCATTTCCCTTCTAGGCTCATCACCTCAGTTAAAAGTAACCAAAAGTTCAGGGTGGGGTGGTATCCACAGTCAGTGGAGGGGCCTGAGCTCCACCTTCACAGGGGACTGGACGAGGGCCATTTGGCTGGGGCATTTGAGGAAAATTGTGTCCTGACACCCAGTGAGACAACTGTTCTCTTTAGTAAGTGCTTAAAACTCTTTCCAGGCAACATAACAATTACCCTCCACCCTTACCTCTCACCCCCAAAAGGAGAAGCAGAGTGTGTGGATTGTACAGCAGAAGTTACATGGCTGCCTTCACAGTGAGCTCCTACCTCTTAGGGGAAGATTCTCCAGGCCTGGTTGTCCACTAGCTGACTTCTGACTAATGTGTCTCTCCAGCACTCTCTGTTTTTCAATCATTTCCTGTCTTGGAGACAGAGAAAGAATGAACTTGAATAAGTTCTTTACTAGACACTCAAAGCTTTGTCTTAAAAACATCCTTAAAAATGTCCATCACAATTACCTACTTGTGCTGCTTGTAGGCAGCCTTCTCTTCTCCCATCTCCCTCCGCAAGGCTTAAACACAAAGATG